TTCAAATCAGAAGGAAAGGAAGCCACAATCATACAATGCTACACTAAGCACCTACACATAATGCAGACACAGATCAAGAGAAGGAGGAGGAATTCTGTAGACAACTGCAATCAGTAACCAGCAAGACCACACTCCAGATGGAGACATCAGAATTCTAGTAGATGACATGAATGCCAAACTAGGAGCAGATAACATAGGGAAAGAACTCATCATGGGTCATCATGCAAAAACACAAGGATATTTACAAATCAACATGGATTTCACCAGATGGACACATTGAAAATCAGACCAACTTCATCTCAATGTGAAGAAGTGTGAACGCAGCCAACTGGACACAAGATGAAATCAAGGAGAGCAGATGTAGGTTTAGATCACTCACTATCTAGTGCAAGCAACTCACCTTCAAAACCAAGTTGAGAGCCTTCACAGAAGTTGGTGACTGGTCACAGTTCAAGTTGAACACCCAGAACAGAAAGTGAAGGACAAAACTACAAAGGGCATCTTCAAATCAGCCACTCAATTATCAGGAAAAGAATGGAGGAAATTATGCAACATCCTCAAAGAAAAGTATGTGGAAGAATACTGAAAATCTGTGGAAGCGACGTGGAAGGAAACCTGCACAACCGTGTTAAGAGAGAAGAAGAAGAAGAAGAAGAAGAAGAAGAAGAAGAAGAAGCAAGAGAAGGAATGGATGTTGACGGATACATGAAAGATGACAGAGTAGGGAGAGGAACGTGGTGAAGCAGAAGATGAACCAGTGCAGTGGAGAGATGAACAAAGAAAAGAGGAACTGGACACAACCAATACAACATTGGACAAAGAAGTGACGAAGAGTCGGCGCAAAGACAAAAGACACTTCTACAACACATTTGGAAGTGAAGCAGAACAGGCTGCATATAGGGGAGACCTGACAACCTTCTCTCAAATAAATAGACTACCATCGGGGAGGAGATCAACGCAGCACAGATGAGAACAATGAAAGATAGTGAAGGAAACTTAGTTTCCACGAAGGAGGAGAAACAAAGGAAACGTTGGATTGACCACTTCAAACAAACTCTTGAATCAGCCACCATCACTACCACCACCACCACCTGTAACTCGTTCAAAAATACCATCAGCATCCTAACCATAGAATTATCAGTGAACACAAAGCCCCTGACAAAAGTAGAAGTGGATTCCTGAACGCCGTGAAGTTACCGAAAGCCGGGAAAGCATCAGGACAGGGTGGAATTCCTGCTGAAGCACTGAAAACAGACATGGAGACATCAGCGAACACAACAACACACCCCTATTGTAGAAGGCTTGGAAGGAAAGAAGGAAGGGAGGGTACCTACTGATTGGAAGAAGGACCGTCTTCTCAAACTTGCAAAGAAGGGAGACCTATGTCTTGGCAAGAACTGGCATGGAATCATGCTTCTGTCTATACCAAACAAAATATTAAGCCCATCATCTTGGAGAGACTGAAAGATGGACTGGATTCAAAATTACGACCAGAATAGGCTGGCTGGTTTCAGGAAAACCAAATCATGTGCGGATCAAATTGTAACGCTACACATCATCATAGAACAGAGCATAGAATGGCAGTCAGTCATTCACCCCGACTTCATCGATTTGGATAAGTCTTTCGACAGCTTCGACCGGGAAGTAGTTTGGCATCTGCTTCAACACTACACAGTGAGTGCCACAAACCCTCATCAACCTCATTCAATAGCAGATATATATTATATGAGGATGCTACGAGCCAAGTGGTTGACAATGGATAACTCAGTGATGTCACTGAATTGAAGTGAAGTGAAGTGAATACAGGAGACAAGAGTAAGTCAAGGTTGCCACCTTCTATCACTGATCATCTTCCTGATTGTGATCGACTCGACTGGATTGGATTGGACTGGATCATGAAAGAAATAACTGTGAGGAGTGAGATGGACATACGCTGTTTGAGCAATGAAAAGACACTGGGAGATTTGTATTTCTCCGATGATGATGATGATGATGATGATTTCTGTCTAATGTCTTGTCGTATAGGGTCGAAGATGTACAGATGAGAACTAACAAGTTGTTAGAAGAGGCAGGACAGCGAAGAGTGGACTTCCTTCAGATGATAAGACATAGGTGATGAAGATGCCCGATCAATAACAACAATAACAACAACAACAATAAGCACCAATCACCATTAACGGCAGAATCCTTAAGGAAGTTTTCTCTTTCGATTACCTGGGAAGTAGCATCGTTTCAACTACTGGCGACACAGGCACAGATGAGGACGTCAACCCCAGGCAGGATCGGAAAAGCAAGACAGGCGTTCATTAGCCTGAAACCAGTGTAGAGATCTGCTGCACTGCACTCAGCATAAAGCGTGAACAATATCCGGATTTTCAATACTACTAATGTCAATCAAACCAGTGCTTTATTGATTTTAATTTGATATTTATTATGGACTGACATTATTCTGAGGAACTATGGAAACGTGGAAGCACTGCACAGCTGTTCTTTTTGACTACAGTGCTACTCCTCAGCAGTGCACACCCATGACCACACTCCACTCCACTAGGGATCGAACCCAAGACCTCCATGTTTTATGGCCAGTACGTTACCATTGAACCACTGGTTTGAAATTTAATGCTTCACATTTCTCGAATGAACGATAGGAAGGACTAAGTGGTTACATGACCTAAACTTCTACAGATTTTAGATATCAGTGGTGATCATTTTTTAAAGTATACTCAAAATTCTGTTCATGAATCGACTACGCCTATCACTGGCACTGACAGGCGTACTAGAAATCATTAGTTTTGAAATAGTAGAGAATATTTGTAGCTCAGGTGGATGGCCTTGATTGCATTATGTTCTCTGAGCTGGGTTGTTTAATCATGAAGATTTCATCGTCTTCCTAGACAATGACATCATCAGCACTAACTTCAGTATGAAGTTAGCAGTATTGGTAGTTTTAAATTCATCTCCTGGTCATTTTAGAGTTCCTTGATGTGATCAAACGTGTTCTGTGCCTCCTGTGTCCATGTAAGTTTGGGGTTGCCAAATGGCATATATAAAGGTGCTGTTATCTCATTGACATTTTTGAGGAACCGACTATAGAATGCTGCTCTACCCAAGAACTATCGCAGTTTCCTCTTGGAATTCGGCACTGGAATAGTTTTAACCGTGAGAATTTTCTCATATGGTGATTCTGTTTCACCGTTTCTAACTTTATGTCCTATTAGTGTAACACTCTTCTTGGCTACTTGAGGTTTTGTCCATTTGATTCAAAGTCCAAACTTGTCAATGCATCTTAAAACAGCTTCCAGGTGTTCTAGATATCCTGCTTCCGTCTGACTGTAAACCACCATGTCGTCACCACACACCTCTGAGTTCTCTAAATTCTTCAAGAACAACAACATCAACCGTCTAAATGTAAATGGCACGCCTGCAATACCAAATGGCATTTGCTTGGATTGGTATTGGTTCTTGCCCACAATAAATGCTGTTTTCTCTTTATCGCTTTCTTTCATTGGTAGCTGCCACTAGCCTAAGCGGAAGTCTAGGGCTGTAAATACTTTGCATTCTGAAAACGACACAGTGTTTCAGCTACCGTAGGCATGGCATACGGCTTCAGTCGCGTTATGCTATTTAACTGTCGGAAATCAATGCAGAATCTATATTTCCGATCAGATTTTCTTACTAAAAGTACTGGTGAACTGTATGAGCTACCAGCCTCTTCAATAATGCCTTCATCTAGCATTTCCTGAACCTGGCGTCCAGCTTCTTCTTCCAAGTGACATGGTATTCACCGTGTTATAAATGTTTGTCATTGCCTGACTTGTCACTGGGATTTCATGCTGAACCTTGTCACAGTATTCACAGGTGTCTCCGTCTCCCATGAATAATCTGTCGTATTTCGTAACCAACTTCATGATGTTTGGCGCTTATAGGTGTGGTGCTTTCGATACCTTAAGGTCCGCTACCTCGCTGTTTTCCTGCATGGTGAACGACCCGTACCTGGTCGCCACTATTCCTGTCCTCATATTAAAGTTAGTGCTGATGATGTCATTGTCTAGAAAGACGATGAAAGCTTCACGATTGAACAACCCAGTTCCTCAGAGAACACAATACAGCCAAGAAATCATTAGTCATTTGAGGTCACTTAGTAGTAGAAAATGTGTCCTGTACAGGAGTTTTTCGTTTCAGTACTTGCTCTCAAGAAATAGGTTTTCTTGACCTCTAACATTAGTTCTAGTTTCTAAATGAGGTTATCTAATTCACCTCAAACTTTCAATATTCTTGTTTAAAGGCAAATGTTTAGCACATCTCTGTCATACTTGGCTTTTAAATCTGCTGATAGTCTCTAGTGGACATATATTTTTTACCACTTTTTCGTTAGGAATACTGACTTTGTCCTCTGTTCTGTTTTATAATTGTAATCTGTTATTGTTACACTGCGTCGAATTAGTTGACATCTATAGGTAGATAAGCTTCTATACTGATCCTTCGATATTGCTCGAATGTTCATTATCTTGTAGTCTGTTTGATGACTGACAATGAAATCCAAAACATGTACCACGTCCTATTTAAGACTCATCAGCTAGATATACCTGTACCTCAATGCCCAGTGATGTTATTTCAATTGAGATGCAAATCTAGTGCTTATCACTTCAAACGCCAAGACATCATCTACTAGGCAAGTGAGGTATAGAATCCCTACAATTTTAAACACTTCACTTTTTGTATGTTAATCAGTTTTAGCTGTCTTTGTAATTCTTTTCCCTTGTTATCTTGATTTTCGTCTGAAATATACTCTACATTTCGTCTACGTAGATGAATGAATAAAATTATATAAAAGAGGACAGTGTGTTGAAATGTTCCTTTTAAGGAATGCTTTTTCATTTAGAAAGCTTATTGAAATCTTGTTCAAGTTTGTTTATACAGAATTGTCAGTGAAAGTTTTCATTTACTCGATTCTAGATTACAGCGAAGTAAACATATATGAAATTACTATATCAAAGTTGTTACTAGCGTTTAATAAACTAACACCAGAAAAATTCTATTCAGTAACAAAAAGCATTTAATTATTAAAACGAAAATATATAATCCTGTCTTGGTTGTATTGTGTTCTCTGAGCAGCTGGGTTATTTAATCGTGCAGAAGCTTTCATCATCTTGCTACACAGTCACATCATCACCACGAACTTCACTATGAAGTGACCTGTCAGTATCTCTCAATCAGTGATTCAATGGCTTGCTCTAACAATGTGGTCTGTGATTGGTTGTTTCCTTCGATTGCTATGTCGTCGATTGACTGCATGGACTTTCCTGTTGGCTTTTACTCTGCTCCACCTATGACCTTTCTATCGTTTATCATTTTTCCTTATTGGTTGATAGATTGGATCTGTGTCTATACATCTGTTGATTGTTGACTGACTGAGCTGAATGCTAAGTTTGTAGGATTTCTCTGATGATATTCTTTGTGTTTCCTCTCTCCGTCCAAAATTTCTACATTGTTGAAATCCAATTCATATGAATGATGAAATGTGGCGGCGTTTAATAGCCAATTGGTGTTGATGTAGACGAAGGTGAATATGGGTGACCACTTTGTTCAATGTGTAGTGTTGACTACAGTTATTGCAGTTGATTTTATAAGTGGTATTCGGTTTGTCTTCCTTGGTTGTTACATGCTTTGGTCTGCATTATGCAGTCAGCACTACATTAGACAAAGTTGTTGCCCTCTTCGCCTTCGTCGACATTAACACCAATTGGCTATTAAACACCACCACATTTCATCATTCATATGAATTGGATTTGGACAATGTAGAAATTTTGGATGGAGAGAGGAAACACAAAGAATTTCACCAGAGAATTCCTACAAACTTAGCATTCAGCTCAGTCAGTCAACAATCAACAGATGTATAGACACAGATCCAATCTATCAACCAATAAGAAACAATGATAAACGATAGAAAGGTCAGAGTTGGAGCAGAGTAAAAGCCAACAGGAAAGTCGATGCAGTCAATCGACGACATAGCAATCGAAGGAAACAACCAATCACAGACCACATTGTTAGAGCAAGCCACTGAATCACTGATGGAGAGATATTGACAGGTCACTTCATAGTGAAGTTCGTGGTGATGATGTGACTGTGTAGCAAGATGATGAAAGCTTCTGCACGATTAAATAACGCAGCTCCTCAGAGAACACAATACAACCAAGATCATCCACCTGAGCTACAAATATTCTTCATTATATATAATTCTGTATTTTAATGTAACACCTACTTTTCTGTGTTTACACACAAATAGCCAAATAGCACATGAAATGGTAAGAAAACTGGCGGCTATTGCACCTGGTATCACAATAAATAAATATGGCGGAAGACTGAATTGTTGATAAACATCAGATGTATGCGTATAGTTGAATGGTTGAGAACTATGCTGTGTAGTTGTCAAGGTTAATTTATTCTCTGTAGTGGCTTCTAGAATTGTATTCGTATAGATTTTAGTATTGTCGTATAATGTAATGGTTGAGTAATGTTGCTCGGTTGATATATAACTCGTTTCTTCTTCATGACTTGACTTCACAGTGGTCAACTTCATACAATTTGTTGTATTCTGAAAAAGTAAAGTTAAATACTTTATTAGAACAAAAGTATATAGCTTAATTTATGTACTTTTTGGCGATTAGTACTAAACCGTATATGTAACCTTCAAGAAACTTATATGCCTTTGGAAATATTGATCCACGACACTTAGTACTGAAGCCATAAATTTTACTACTAAGTTATAAACATTGACCCTCTTCACTTTTAATTAGTAGAGATTGATTAATAACACCCCAGAAAAGAGTATGAGGATAAAAAAAATTCCATTAACTTCAGAAATACTCAACGTTATATATGGGTTGTGAAGGCAGATTATGAAAATATGAGTTAAATGTTTTTATGTGACTTTTTTTGACCAGATCGTTTACCATTGATTATTTCATGCTGTTTATTTCCTTTTGTTTTGAGTTATTATCATTTTTCTTGTCTTTATACAGACAGAGAGATCTTAGAACAGTGAGGTATTAAAAATGTAGTACTTATGATTTTCAAGACAGGCGTTCATTAGCCCGAAACCAGTGTGGAGATCTTCTGCACTCAGAATACAGCGTGAACAACATCCGGATTTTCAACACTAACCTAGTCAAGTCAGTGCTTCTGTATGGTTCAGAGACTTCGCACGTCACGAAAGGCATTTCCAATAAACTACAGACATTCATCAACAACTGCTTACGCTGGCTCGCTACTCAAGATCAGATGGATGGCCAGAAAGAATAAGCAACCAGGAGCTCTGGGAACGAACCAACCAAGAACCTATCATCCAACAAATATGCAGGAGGAAGTGGAGGTGGATTGAATCGGCATGCACTGAGAAGGCCGACTAGGGACATCATGAGTCAGGCCAGTCACTCGAGTGGAATCCCCATGGGAAGCGACGAGTTGGACGTCCGAGGGTGACATGGAGGAGGTCGTGCGAGGATGAAATGAGAGGTTGTGGGCTGTCGTGGAGCCAGGTTCGAAAGATCTCAGAGAACAGAGGTTACTGGAGACGTGCTAGTGAAGCCCTATGTTCCATTAGGAACCCAAGGGACTAGTAATAATAAAATAATAATATGATTTTCAATTGCCATAGTGGGCCGAATCGCTTGACCTCTTTGGTAGATGGGCTCCTAGGCGGATTCCTCAATACTATTGAGCATTCATGAAGTTGTACTGATCTTGGTGACTAGCAGAGGGATCTAGAACGTGAGTGTCACCCTCTTTGGGACTTGTCAGCTGGATATGTCTTCATCTTAGTGAGTGATGTTGTTCCCGCTGAAGCACGAACCCAGTACCCTACGCTTCCGTTGCACAAGAGGTGGCTACCGGGTCCAGTTACATCCAGCTGGTGAGTTAGTCCCAAACAGGACGAAAGGCACATCCTGGATTCCTCTACTAGTCACTAATCATAAAGCCATTACCCATAATGAAAGCGGTAAAAATGTATGATCCTTTTCTGTGCGTTGAATATCTTTTGATCGGTCCTAATACTTCTGTGGAATACAAGGGAAAACCTGGATAGATTCGTTATCGATTTCCTTCCTGAACTGCGTCTAACTATGCCTCAGTTTTCATGCTCTCCGGGAACTCAGAATAAGATGTGAAGAGGAATAATGGATGCTGTTCAGTACAGGGTCGAAATCATTTGTATAACCAGTTAAAACTGGAAAGCATCGGACGGGTTTTACATCCTAGTATAAAGCTTCCTAACAGCGCGCATCCATGACCTCACCAGGAATAGGCCCCACCACTAACGAGTCTTATGATCAGCACTTTCATTACACAATCATGCAATCAGATAAGGGTAACAATAGGAAGCCTGATAACACAGTTCTGTGGATAACAAGATATTTCCAGCTAAGTTAAGCAAGGATTACGGACAAGGTATCTCAGTCTTTAAGTAGCTTGGCGGAAATTGTAGGCAACCTGTGTTGTTTAAATAGACATATGTCACTCGATTGCACCACTCATAAAATGACTTATACTACACGTCTTCATTACTACGGACAGTAATAACTAGAAATAAGAGGGCTTTCATGACGTCTAAGCACTTACAGTCAAAAGGGACTGAAGATGCCGGATGTTTTCGGTGCCGGAAATTAGCTGTCCTTCACCAAAGCAAACCATGCACCATACTGAAGCCCAGGTGTGTGTTCAAGTAACATTACCTTTATTTTATCATAAAGTAAGACGATATTATCTGCATATTCCAGGTAGTTGTGTCTCTTCTGGAAAGAAGACCTGGGACTCAATATTTTTCATGTTTTCAGGATTCCACTAGTCTGAAATTGATACATGTTTGACGAAATAATGTAATCCTGCCTATATGTATCATTGGTTTTGAACGATATATGGAGTTAACCACAGATTCTTGTACAAACTCAGACGCCTTCGAATGTCGCTATGATGAAGTTTGCAAAGTTCTGAGGAACATTTCTATTTGAAACACAGTTTAAGAGTATAAATCTTTGCAACAAGTTAAATTTACACATACTGCCTAGAAGTATAATGATTACTGGCATTGAATGTACCCAAGCGTTCAGTAATTATGAAGTTTATGAAGTATATCAGAATTACCACATGACCATCTGAAATAGCCGTAGTTTGGCAGACACTGGGTGATGAATGAAAGTGAAATGAAACTTTGGACAGCGGTGGAATTCGAACCAGCGACAATCAGTTTTCCCGCTTGATGCTATACCAACTGAGCTACAAGGTCTAAAATTTGGACAGCGGCCAGTACAGCATTGATCGGAAACCCGGTGGTTACTGGTTTGAATGTTGCTGCTGTTCGAATCTTCATTTCACCTTTAATCATTACTCAGTATATATCAGAATTCTTGATCTTATGAAGACCTGCCAGTAGAATTTCGGTTCGATTACTTTCACTTGCATACTAAAGACCAGTTTTTAAGATCAGAAATGAAGCTAATATTTGAAGACGACGATAATATTATTCAGTAAACATACCTTCATCTAAATTATCTATTCAGATAGCTTGATGGAATGTCACTTTCCTAAAGAAAATCTGTGAAATTCAGTAAACCGATCGAAATTACTTGAGACATTTCACTACTTGAAGTACTTTAATAACCTGATCTCTTTTAGGTGAGTCAGTTATGACCTACTGTAAAGTTCAAAACTTCATAGATAAAATCTCTATATAAGAATAGAACTTGAATACTAAGAAATAATGAAACTTCATTTTATTTGTTTACCAGATGTCCTACAAAACGATGCAGTTTCATTCATTTATTTATCTAGCAAATGAAACTGTTTTAATGTTTCCAGATTTTTTATCGCCAGTGATTCAAATGAGTAGGGATATGTTAGTTGGTTGGAGATAATCGGCAGGAAGCCCTACCTCACCTACGTTTCGTGCTTTTTGTCACTCGTCAACAAGGCGTATCTGCAACCCCGACGGAACTGATGTCCTACCTGAGATTCGAACTCGCCTCACTCAGTATTGTCGTCAGCGACTTTACCACTTAGCTATTCGGGCAGCGACTGACCCCCTGTATTGATTGGTGATGTAAGTGCAACCAATTTCATGACTAGACAGGACTAGACAACATGAAATTGGTTACATTCCCGTCACCAATCAATATATGTAAACCAGTCATACGGGAGATCAGTAGCCGCCCGAATAGCTCAGTGATAAAGTGGCTAACTACAACACTGTGTGACGTGGGTTTGAATCTCAGATGGGACATCAGTTCTGTTGAGGTTGGAGATACGAAACGTAGGTGAAGCAGGACTTCCTGCTGATTGCCTACAACCAACTAATAAACTTCATATTTATTATTCTTTATCTTATAAACTGGGTGGTGATTGAAGGTGAAATGAAAATTTGGATACCGGTGGGATTCGAACCAGAGATTACTCGGGTTTCCGGCCCTGTGCCCTACCAACTACTCTACTAAATTGGGATGAGAAGTCCTGACTAGACAGACAATTTGACTAGGTCATACATTTTGACAAATTTGAACAATGCAAGAACAAAGATATTTGTTCATGGAAGCAAGTAGATAGGACGAACTGAAAGTAGGGAGTCTACTCAATTTTATGAGCATATTCCAAAAATTCTGTATCTGAATGGTAGAAAAGTCTTTGAAAACGCAATCGTCAGGTATCTAATGGAAACAGGACATCAAATAGATGTTTCTCAATCCTTCAGGATAATCAACAAACGAAGAACACCATGTTTATTATGGTTTGTGGAAGCTGTCGTTATCAAACATTTTCAACCTGACCTATGTACTCAGAAAGAGACGGCAATTAACCTTTCTTCACCTTAGTAAATGCATATAATTTTGTGCATACGTATGTTCTTGGTTGTATTATGTTCTCTGAGGAGCTGGGTTATTTAATCGTGCAGGAGCTTTCATCGTCTTGCTACACAGTCACATCACCACGAACTTCATCAGTGATTCAGTGGCTTGCTCTAACAATGTGGTCTGTGATTAGTTGTTTCCTTCGATTGTTATGTCGTTGATTGACTGCATCGATTTTCCTGTTGGCTTTCACTCTGCTCCACCTCTGACCTTTCTATCCTTTATCATTGTTTCTTATTGGTTGATAGATTGGGTCTATGTCTATACATCTGTTGATTGTTGACTGACTGAGCTGAATGCTAAGCTTGTAGGAATTCTCTGATGATATTCTTTGTGTTTCCTCTCTCCATCCAAAATTTCTACATTGTCCAAATCCAATTCATATGAATGATGAAATGTGGCGGCGTTTAATAGCCAATTGGTGTTAATGTAGACGAAGGCGAAGAGGGCAGCAACTTTGTCTAATGTAGTGCTGACTGCATAATGCAGACCAAAGCATGCAACAACCAAGGAAGACAAACTGAATGCCACGAAATGTCGTGTGTGACGTTTAATAGCCAATTTGTGTTGATGTAGACGAAGGTGAATATGGGTGACCACTTTGTGTAATGTGTAGTGTTGACTACAGTTATTCCAGTTGATTTTGTAAATGATATTCTGTTTGTCTTCTTTGCTTGTTGCATCCTTTGCTCTGCAT